TATGGACACCCTGAAAGGCCTCAAGAACCCCTGCCAAGACCCCTGGTACTTTGTTCAAGGCTCCCCGGCCTCAAAACTCGAGGGTCCCTCATGTGCCATTGCCAAGGAGAGTGACATGGAGACCACAGTGCCTAACCATTACAGAGGCAGCTGCTGTCTATGTATGGGTATGAAACTAAACATTTTAAAATCTATATCTGAAGCCATCAAAACACAAGATTCTAGCCATATCAGGAAACAGTATATGTTGCCTTTTAGTTTTAATATTCTTCCTGTTCATAGCTGGTCTTGGTTGCAATGGATGCAAACATATCTAAAGGTTTTTTAAGTTTTGCGATTACTAGGGGTAATGTATTAGATGTTGCTAGCAATTAAGCTTTAGACTTTGTATAAAGTATTTTAGTGTCTAATATAAAGTGATATTTCTAGATGCCCAGTAAATGCCTATTGATTCATTAGCTTTCCAAATCAAATTCAAGCTCTGCCCAAAAAATTAACTTAAAAAGGAGAGAAGATCTATTATAAGAACTCTAGTAAGAGTATATGGCAATGTAAGGTCATGGTTTAGAAATGAAATGGAATGATCATCTGGAGAGACTAAATTGAGGACTATGTGGATGACTATAGTGACTGCTCATTAAATCAGATATCTAATAGATAACAGAACTGCTCCTTGGCTAACAATTTGATCAAGGCACCTGAAGTAGCTCTACTGCAAGGTAAGTGGCCAAAGCCTTCTGGAGAAGCTAAGTCTCCTGAAGAACCACAAACCTTTTCCTGGAGAATGACTTAAATGTCCCACAATGGCTTGAAAGAAAATAAACCAGAAATTTGTGAAATGCGATAGACTAAAATAAACTCCTCTATCACGACTTATTTTTAAGATCTACTTATGAGCCTATACTCCATGAGAGTAGATTAAGGTATGTCAGTAAATTAAGAAAACTCAACTATATTTAGGGAAGATTCCATGAGAGGGGCAGAGACTTGGTGGTGGTGGAGAACCGGAGCCCCAAGAGTCATAAGCCCCTGGAAAGCTTGCATAGATGCGGCCATTCCGCATGAAAGTCTGTCATCATCAAAAAGTGAAGAGAATTATTCTTAAAAACTGGATTAAAATATGGTATAAAGCATTTTCCACGTCTCAGAACACTTCAAGGAATGTCTATGTGATTTTTCACAGACTCCTCGACGTAAGGACTAGCTGAGGCAAAGTCCATCATCTTTCAATGACCAATAAGAGCTAACTTCTAAAGAGACACATGGGTTCTGAACAGACCACAATCTGGGCAGGCGTTTGAGACATCTACACATTATCCTTGATTGCCGCCCTCACGCTCCAACAGGTTAAAACTCAGCTTTCAGGCCCCACTGCTCCTGGGTTATCCCTTACTCARGATACTTGGACCAGAAGTATTCCCAATTTAAATTTTTCTAGATTTGGGGTATGTGCATACATGAGATACCTTGAGAACAGACTCCAAATTCTAAATAAAATCATTTATTTCTTATGTACTTTATATTTATAGCTGGAAAGTAATTTTATGAAATATTTTTAGTGTATTTATGTTTTGATTAACGTATGAGGTCAGGTGTGAAGTTTTTCCATTTGCAGCATCATGTTGGTACCCAAGAAGTTTCAGATTTGAAGTGTTTCACAATTTTTGATTAGGGATACTCAACCTGCCTCTTCTAAATAYCTCAAATCTCACTGGTTCTGACCTTTCTCCTAAACTTGTATCAAGCCCACGCATTCAGGGTGTTTCAGTCTCTTCTGCCTCTAATCCATGCTCCACAATGTTATTGAAGTAATTTTCAAACTAAATTTGCTCCCATTGTACCTTTACCTCAAATCTCCAACTGGTATCCCATTATCTTCTGCATCAAGTCCAAATTTCCAAAGAACAAGACACAAAATACTGTGTAATCCAGCTCCTCCTAATTTCTTGCTCTTTCCAAATGGGTTACGTTTTCTCATTAACCTTCCTTCCAAAAATAGAAGCCAGGCTCTGTTACAGGTGCTTGGTATATATGAATTAAAAAAATAAAGAACACTGCCTTTGCAGATCTTATATCCTTATTGGAGAAGTAGATGATAAATGGATGACTGACAGTTGATAGATGAATGATAAATAAGGAGATGGATGATCAATAGGTTATAGGTGGGTAGATGATATAGACAGAAATAGTCATCTACTTGTCAATCATCCATCTAACAGATACACAGAATGTCACACAGATTATTGCAATGGAGACAATCAGGACAGGAAAGGGATAGGGACTGTGTAAGAGGTGGCATGTTTTGTAACTGTTGGATAAAGAATGCTTCATCCAAAACAGCAACATTTGAGAAAAGACCTGATGAAGGCCAGGACACACCAACTTGTCTTATGAGGGAAGAACTTTCCAGGGAGGGGGAACTGCCAGTGTAAAGGGCCTATGGCAGCTAGGTGCTCCCTGGAGGTCCACCAGGAAACCAGTGTGGCTGCAGAGAACAAGTCAGAAAAGAAGATTATCTCCTGGGGGCACAGAGATGCCAGGCCACATCCACCAGGTCTTCATGTAGATTCCGGCTCCCACTGAGCCAAATGGGAGCTGCTTGATCACACAATCAACACCTTTTATTACAACACTGTTTTAAAATTCCAGGCTGCTGCTGGGTTGAGAGAAGACTGCAGGGGCCAAGGCTGGACACTTCGCCTTGCCCATCATGCTGCTAGTAAGAATTGTTACACTGCACCTGCAACTAGTCATCCTTAGGCTCCCTGGTCTGTGCACTTTGGAGACTGTTAGCTTTCTCTGCAGCTCTCTATCTCCTAGCACTATACCTGGCACAGAGCAGACCCCTGGATCAAGAGTGTCTCCTCAAGACCCTCCTGGGACMACCMGGCTCCTTGGAGTTCCAGGTACCTGTCCTGGCCACTAGAGGGGTCTAAGCTCATCTTTGAACTTAGTCCTGGAGCCAAAGGAGGGCCAACAGCAGCACCTGAGGATAAGGCTGGGCACTCAAGACCAACAAATCCACCCAGTGTGCAGGGCTGATCAATGACCAGACAGAGAGAATAGAAATAAAAGTGTTGGGACAAAGTTTGGAATCCTGGGTTAGCTGACATCTGGAGTGACATCCGCCCCATTAGACGCCTCACCCTCAAAAGGGGAGACGCTTGAAGCTCTCATGCCTCAGGCTGTGTTTCTAATTGGAAAAGACTAACATAATTGCAGCATTTTTTCAAGGCTATTTCCCCACCTCAAAATGCTGCTAATKAAAAATTAACAGTGATTTTATCATAGGACACTAGGGAGGCTGGACCAGATGGGTGGCTTCCTTTCTGAAGGGCTGTGCCCACAGCATCTCTCTGAGCTGATGAAGTCAGCTCCTCAAGCTGTCTCCATCTCCTAAGCCACTGCCCTCTGCTGTGCGCACCCCTTCCTCCATCCTCCTGCCTTCCCAAGTAGGATCATGTGCATGGCTGGCAGGAAATGCACTGGAGGCTGAGGCATCACTTCTCATAACCTAACTAGGAGAATTTCCAAGACCAGACGCATCAAAGGGCCACAAGAACATCAGGGCTTATCACCCCCCATCATCTCCAGCATCATGCAGAAAGATCCATAATGCAGTAAACAGACCGCTCTGATTATATTTCTATCCAAATTTTTACAAAGACACTTAATAAAGTTAGAGATTAGAAACTAATGTCATTTTCCATGGGGTGAGAAGTTGTACGAGAGGCCAAAGGAAACCGGATTTGCATCCTCAATCATTGTGGCCTCCCTGAACTTGGTTTTCTCCTCTATGAAACGAGGCAAAAGTGGTTTCTAGACACGTGTCCACATGCATGTCTGTGTGTATGCAGATAAAACACCAGCAAGGTAAGTAGTCGGGTAGTTCACGGAAGCCCTTTACACACAAGCCCGCCTCTTCCTATTACTTGAATGGGACCTGACACACCTAAATGGATAAGATCTCAGTGGCAATACACATGGGGTATAAAATAGCCTTAAAATAAGAGGTTAAGTTTTGGCATAAAATCCCCCCTTCATTGTAGCCCCACACATGGTCCCTGACATTAGAGGCTCGAGAACTCCTGAAAGGTCAGGAAGAACAGTGCGAGGCAGGGAGTAGCACGTCCTGCAGCTTCAGAAGCCCATTCTTATTTGCATAGGTGCTGCCTGCAGGTTCCATAAGGCCTGCTTTCCCTTCTGCCCTTCCTGTGGGAACCAGAGCCAGCAAACCAGGCAGAGAGCGCTGAGGCAACCTGCCTCATAAGCCTCATTGAGCACCACCCTGGAGCTGCACAGGACCCACCCAACCACTGTGTGGACTGAGTCACTTCACCATTCTCAGTGGCAATGTCCACCTGTGCCACATGAAACAGTAACTTCATCACCGGCTTGTTACGCGACTGCCTKCGAAAAGCTCTTTGAAAAATTTAAAGTGATACGTAAATGTCTTAGGTCTGGTCACCACCAGTCAATTACAAGGATTTGCAACCCATGTTGTAGGAACAATGACAAAACTTCCAAGTAGTTCCCTTATAAAAGTTATAGTTAGGCGAACAGGAAAAGGCAATTTTAATTTGCATATTAGGTGAAAATCTCTCTCAAAAGTAAACGTATCAGGGCTGGGGCTCAGCAGTAGAGTGCTCACCTAGCACGTGCTAGGCCCTGAGTTTGATCTTCAGCATCATATAAAAATAAGGGTACTGTGTTCAACTACAACTAAAAATTAAATATATTAACTTTTTTGAAAAAATTTATCACAGTCTAAGTTTCTTCTTGTTCAACTAATGAAAAAATTAAATCCAGCCCAGATGTGGCCTGCAGTAGGAATGAATTACAAGACAGCATTCAGACAAGATGATACTATAGAACAGACAAAAAACAGGGCAGGTCCATATTCCTTGAACCTGTGCCTCACAGATAATGAGTGTGCACCTGCTCATCCACAGTGACAGATCAAAGTACCATTAGTCTCCTGCCCCCATGCAATGCCTTACCTGACCGATAGCGCTCATCTCGTGACCCTGAGGACCTTCGGCGGTGGTATCTAGAGGCAGAAGAAGGAGTGACAGGAGCCCGGCGCTCTTGAGGCAAAGCTTGGTCCACCCCTAGATTTAAGGGAAAACAGCAAAGTGAGGGTAGGGCTGTGCTCAGCAGCTGCAGGCAGCAGACACCATGGAGCCAATCCCTTGGTGGAATAAACCTAGGCTTCGCCATGCACACAGCGCAGCTGGAGCGGCCCATGAACCAGTTGGGGGTGGGTGTTCATCACAGCGTATGAGCAGGAGGTAAGCATTCTGGGCTGTGGCAGGGGCAAGTGCTCCCAAACGCAGAAGGCCAGCCCTGCCCAGAAGAATGCCAGCCAGTGCCCCTTCAGTCACCACCACCCCAACTACATCATGGGAAGAACAACGAAGCCCAAGACAGAAAAGGTATGATTTTTTGGGGGGGGGGTATAATATACAAGTCATAAATCCCTGAAAAAAATCCAAAGTCACATTTTATCATTAATGTTCACTTTAAATAAATCTTTCAAGGGGCTGGAGATGTAGCTGAGCAGCAGAGCAATTGTCAGAGGCCCTGGGAGCAACTGTTAGTATCAAAAAAGAATTTTACAGGATTTCTTTAAACAATGCTATTCAGGTCACTAGAAGGTACCTATAGGTAGCAAACAGCTTTGTTCACTCCAAAGTAATCACTCTCTGGAAACTTCACACTCTGGAAACTTCATTTGATACTAGGGGTTTTAACAAGGTATATTCGAGTACAGTTGTGATGAATTACCAAGAATATCATCTTCATCAGATAACGACAATTCAAAAGATACTGGTCAAAAAGCTGACCCAAATCTGCCAATCACAGTTCTACTGTGATAACCTAACAGGGGCAGGAATAATCCAGATAAAAAAAGTTGTGTGAGAAGAATTTAATCATTACAGTTCAGGAATAAAACTTCCTACACTGAGCATTTGTTACCAACTGTTGCTTCTTCAGAGATAGACCAATAACACTTAAGAACTCTGGCACTGAATTGTTAAAAAAAAAAAAAAAAAAAAAAGTTTAGACCCTGATTTCCAGTGACAGGCTCCCACGAAAGTTAAATGTGATTCTGTGGATTAACATTTCTCTCACTCTGGTGATTTCCACGCCACTTTTTCTTGCATGTTTTTAGGTCCCCCGTGATAGGTCAACTATGTCAGAATCATAAAAACAGCAGTTCCTACTCTAACACCACTTTGTTAGGCTCTATAAAGCTTTAACTAGCAAGCACATCAAGTCATTAACATTCTGCAGTGAATGAACATTTCAGTTATTGTCTACAAATGATCTTTTCAGACATTTAAAACATTTTTTTTAAATAAAATAGGTGAAGTTTATGAAATCAGAGTCCTGTCTAAAGACACGTTGCTTGGTATATACACTGATTCATACACATATGGATTATAATTCTCAAGATTATATACAGACTGAAAACCACAAGGTTGAGTGTTAGGAATATTTTATGTGGTTATAGTATCTGTACCTTGTTGTCGTCTCAGCCTCCAACACATCCTATCTACTGCTGGTCCTTTAAAAGCACTCCCCACACCCTGACCCTATCTGATGCTTACAACCTGGCGATGGCTTTTCAGCTAGGTGTTCCCGGGAGAGCCTTCCTGGAGCCCCTCCCGCTCTACCCTTGGTCATGCAGGTGTGCCTTCATCCTGGACTTGTGTTATTGTGTTGGTCATTCGTTCCTTATGTGTCTTCTCACCTCTCCCTCATATTTTAAAGGGACACCTCAAGTAGCTTCTGCAGAAGGGATGAAAGACACATGGAGGCCCTACATGTGCCCAGTGTGCATCTCTCTACCTTCACGTGATCGGGTCGGTTGCTCAGATGTGGAATTCTAGGCAAGAGTTACTTTAGTTCATTGCCTTTTGTTGCCATCAGTGTTGAAAAACCAAAATGCCACCCCTGTGCTCTAATCCTCACCTGGACCTCTTTGTTGACTTCTCTAATTTCCCCTCTCCTCCCACTGAAGGGGCTGCATGACAGCCCTTCTTCCTCATGGCTGGGCACCACCAGATCTTCCACTAGGCTGTTTTGTTTGCCTGAAGAGACTCACCGCCTGGCTAGTGAGTGAACTCAGGCACTTGTACCACCCCAGACATCCCTAAACTGAGGACCTTGCTGGTTTCAATGCCCAAGAACAAACACCTCCAGGTGGTGTGGGCAGAGGCGGTCCCTGTGTACTAGGGGCCATCTCTTCTCCCAGCTCCAGGCCATGTGGTACCTAGGGTTTCCAAAAGCATCCTTGTCTACGGGCTTTCTCCAGTTTGCCAAATGAGATGCCACAACTACATATTACAACCGTTGGCCGTTGTGGCTCCCATTCTCCTGTCCTGTGGACTTAGACTTCATCTGTTTGCTGACAGGTATCTCAGTGCAGCTTGGGAGGAAGCAGAGGCAAGTGCAACACTCCAACCACTGGGTTTGAGATGCACCAGTCACCAGTTTTTTGGTTGTTTTTTTTTTTTTTAATGTGTAACTTTCAGTCTCAGTAACTCAAACATACTTTCTGGAATTACTCTCATCTCCCCAGCTTACCAGAACGTGMAGTATGGAGTTGTGGGCCACTATTGGGCTCATTCATGGGCCTTATGAAGCTGTCCTCAAACATACTTTTGTATGTAAGTGTTAGGAATACTAAGCTTCATAGGCTGAAATGTAGCATTTACAACAGTTTTTTTTTTTTAAAAAAAAGGGTGGATAAAACTAAATGTAACAGTTATAACAGGTTGACAGCAACGACAGTGAAACAAACTAGAATATTAGTTCTATTAACTTTAATCTGGGCTTATTCCCAAAGAGATTTAAGGTGGCTTAGAAGTATGGTCTGAGGGCTGGGGATATAGCTCAGCTGGCAGAGTGCTTACCTCACATGCACAAGGCCCTGGATTCAATCCCCAGCACCATAAAAAATAAAAAAAAGTATGCTCTGACAAGARGAGGCCACCAGCTACAATGTGCTCACCATAAGAGTCCAACTTGTGACCACAGTAGGGCCCAGGGTCACTGCAAGGTTGTTCTCCTTGTCTGTCCACTAATGGGAACTGAGCAACACTACTGCTGGAACAGATGTCTCCATACAGCATAAATAATTCATAGAACAGCCCAGTGTGCACCCAGCATGGGCCTGGCACTCCCAGCTATGTCCAGCTTGAATCAGGTTCACACACTGCCCAGGAGAGCCACAGAAAAAAAGCCTCAATAGCCAGTGTGATCAAGGGCATAAGAGGCCGATTTGGTCCCTGGGAAGGAAGTCGTCCTGAGGACCTCGGGGTTACTGTCCCAAGAGATCCAGATAGGAGGTCAAAAATGTTATTTCTGCTTAGGGAAAAGCACCACAGGGGTCAACAGAGGTATCAGGGTATCTCCCACAGCTATCAGGCATTCACATGTCGGTGTGCCCAACACCAAGTCACCTCCACATCCTAAGAGTGTCAGGGAGAGACTCTGAGCTCTGGATCTGTAAGGCTCCTGTCCCTGTGACCTCAGCAAGTTCCTCCTCCTTTCCAAGGCTGAGTCCCCCATCTTTACACAGAAATAGTAGTAATGGATAACACTGGTAGCACCGGTTTAAGACTTAATCCCTTAGGTTCTTAGCATAAAAGCCATGAGTCAGGGACCATTAGTTGCCATTTTACTGAGAGAAAAAAAAAAAAAAAACAGGCACAGAAGCAAGGTGTAAACTCTGGCAGTATACACCAGCCTGTCAGTCACGATTGCCTTTCCGTTGTGACTGGAGTCTCGCCTGGGTGCTCCCAGATGCCGCTGTTTGGATGTCCTGGAGTTGTGCAGCACTGGGTACTGGGCTCCAGGTACCACCCCCAGCACCAGAGTGGGTGTTCACGCTCCTCCAGCCATACCTTAAAACCCTGGGGAGGCACATATGAGTATTTCCTTAACACTGTGGTGAAAGAACACGATGATCCTGTTGGCCCTAATGTTAGGGGACAAGTGGGACAGCCATCAGTCTAAAACGATGCTTGAGATCAGAAGTCAACAGGGCAGTACTGGTGACCCTCGATTATGCTGGATGTTAAACGTATTGCAGGGGGTGGGGGATCAGAAATTCTAAATTTGGACAGTAAGAAAGACTAAAATCTTGGTTTTTAATGTGTATTTAAGTGAAGTCATGAAAGTTGCAYGGAGAAACCCTTTAAAAATCAACACGGGATTTAGGATAAGACAATCTGGATCCAAATTCTGGTCTTACTCTAGTTGCCTAAGCTTGGGCAAGTCTCTGTGCCTCTAAGCCATACATTCCGTGCATGCTGAAGGGAGGGTGCAGACATCATCTGGGAGGGACAGTCAGCTCCTGAGGCCCCCCAAGGATTCCCATCTCTTCCCCAGCACTGAGAGCAAGCTTGGGTTCAGGGGGAGGGGGGAAATCCTCTGAGCTCCATAGAAACACATCACAGGCTGCTGTGCACATGAAACCCCCTTTAGATAATTTTCAAAATTGCTGCAGATTTTTCTATAGCTCATATCTGCCCAGAAACAGTTTCTGAATAGAGTCCCTTCTCTTCTGGAACCTAGCTATACTTCCTGGTTTACATAACAGCACTTATTTCTACAATAAGTTCAGTCAAGGAATTTACCAGAAAGTAGTAATTGCCATACACGTGGGTAATAAATTTACTATTTCTGCATTGACGTGGATGAGAACACCATAAACAAGAGTGGATTCTCATCCTAAGCAGTGTCTACACAAACCACAGAAACCCAGTTCTTACACTGTCACTGTTACTTTTGTCTTTTACAAACATAGGTCTTCGCCATAAAACTAAGTCTGATTAATAATCATTTTCCTAATATTTTAACTTGATTAGGAACTCATGAATTGGGATAATGGGAAAGATTTAAAACTTTTGGTAGTTTAACATTGTGTCCAACTCCGCCACCCTGGCCTTTAATCTATGCTCAGATAAGCTCAGCTCATCACCAGGATTCTGCGTAGGCCTCAGTTTTTTTTTTCCCCCTTCCCCCAAACCCCTATCAGACAGTTCTGAGGTTGGCACCATCCTCATGGTTAGGTGGACAAACCCAATGGGGCTCTAACTCCAGAAACATGGCATGACAGTGGGCTTGGCTGTGGTCCCTCTTAACTATTCAGACCTGTGATAAGGAACCCGACTCATTCAATGCAACACCAGAAATTTCACCTGATCAGACCACCAGCTGTGAGAGACAGGACAGGTCTTAGACAATGTACAGTGGCAAACTGCAAGACTGATCCTAAGGACAGCTGGCCCAGAACACGGGTGACATACCCTCCGCTGATGCGAGTTCATCTCCTCTACCCTTCAAGCTGGAAGGACCCATGCTAAGCCGGAGGGGCAACACCAACTTGACTCACAATCCCCTGTGTGGGATTATCCTTGTACCTCCATCATCCCCATCTACCATGGGCCCAGGCACAGCTGGACCCTTCAGGGGAGGAATTTGACTGGCACAGGTTTGGGCATCTCTCGGCCCAGCTTAGGAGGAAGTCAGCTGSCCCAGCAGACATGGATTCTGTGCCTGGGGAAAAGATGCATCTCAGATACACCATGGAATTCTTGAGGGAGGATGAAAACACCAAGCTAATTGCTTGACATCCAGTACCTGCTACTGGGCAAGCACAGCAGCCATCTAGAGGGGAACCAAAACAGGCCAATGACAGGACCGGCCCAGGCAGCTCTATTTTCTAGGGAGAATAAACAGCACTTTACTGAGGATTACATCCTCAAATGCATTTCTTTTTTAACTTTTTATGTGACCAAAGCACAAAATTCACAAGTGCTAAACACTGCTAACTGTGGGGAACTTCCTCCCTCACTATCCAGAGAGGTAGCAACTGCATTTCAAACAGCTTCCTCATAATGTCCTAGGAGAAGAGGCCAAGGTGAGTTACTGCAGCCACAGAACTCCCCAAAAAACAGCTTATCACAAGGGTTCACACCCTGAACAGCAGCAGGAAACACAGAAGGCAATGCTGCATCTGGAACTGTCTCCCTGGAAGGAGACCATGCTTGGCAGTGCCTAGCTCCAGCCCTCCATTTTGGGGGAATGCTGTTATAGTTCATAATTGTGTGTCCCAAAGGACATCTCAAGTCAGTTTTGAAAAAAATCGGCAAAATACAATTCATCTACTTAGAATGTGCTGAGGTCCAAAATCATGTTATCCTTTGACAGTCCTGTTGCTGTCAATGTTAATGTTTTCATTTAAACTTCTCCGTATCCGAAATAAAACTACAACTGTCATCACAGATGATATCTGAAGCAGGAGGTTTAAGGTGCAACACATCTGAGTGCTGAACCCTGGGGCACTGACCTCAGCTGGACCAATCTCTGAATGTCTTCTTGTCAAGTGCAAGGAAAATACTGCCAGGCTTGCTGTCTGTGCCCTACATGACATGGATGCAATGGGCAGAACTGCTACCTGAAGAGTCTGGAGAAACCAGCTGCTGCCCCACTGTCCTCCAACCACATGCAAATTACATGACTGGCCGGCAGGCACCTGCCAACTGGCAAGGGAAGTAGACAGCATCTCTGGCCATCCCATTCACCCAATACTTGCTGAACATTGACTGTGGAGGGAAGTAGGGGCCCTTGAGTAGTTTATATCCTATTGTGGTAGGGGTGGGGGCAAATATCCACATTTCAGTAAGAATCATTCAACTACAATTTGGGCGAGTATTTCAAAAGTAGGATGCTGAGAAGACTWGGATCTGCGATCGACCTGACAGGAGGGACCAGGGGAACAATCCTTGAGAAAGTGACATCTGAGTTGAGCATTCAACCATACCTGGGTACAGGCAAAGGGCACAAGCATGTACAGAATTCCTAACATGGGGTGCAGTGTGTTCATCTGGGGAAGATGCTGCAGAAGCTGAGAAAATGCAGGGTGGCAGGATGCACAATACAGAGACCAATACAGTACAACCCAAGTTCCAAGGAGGGCTATCTGGGGTCTYCAGGATAAACACATAGGAACTCAGACTAATAACACACAGCACCTGCTGAGGGAGGCTGAAAGGAAAACAGCAAGACAATGACTGACTGGCTCATAGTAGCCAAATTCACCAAGACCTCAAGCTCCCTTTTTCTATACCTAAGCAAGAAGCCACCTGTTGAAGAGTCATCAGGCTGCGCTTGGTGAAATACCTTGGATACAGAAAAATGGCTCCATGCTGAGACGCATTTCATGGACAGCCATGCAATGAATGCCACCAAGCTGATACACCAAGAGAAAGAAGGACTGTGTTTGGGCAAGGAAAGCTTACTATCATGGTAACACTGAAATCTTACTACTTTCCATCACCATGATGGGTGCCCTTAAAAGTAGTGAGGATTCATTATACACATGTACACTATGTTACCAAGACATCCTGAAGGCTGCTAGATGGTGGATTCCATTTTCTACCTTTACAAATTTAATTRCATTTAGAGATTGATAAAAGATGATTTTGAAGACACTGCAGTGACAAACTCCAACAGGGCAAGCACCAAATGGGCAAATTTCCCTAAGTAGTATCTTAGAAGTGTTAGAAATGATTTCCAAACTCTTCTTTCCAACCCTCTTTTCCTTGATAACACAATTCTATTTCTTTATGGCTTCCAGCACACATCGACATCTAGGTCTGCACTCAGTCTTTCACTCACCCAAGACAGTCTTTTCCAGCACCTGTGTCACCACCAGATCTCCAACAGCACTTAAGCCCACACCCTGAACAGCAGCAGGAAACACAGAAGGCAATGCTGCATCTGGAACTGTSTCCCTGGAAGGAGACCATGCTTGGCAGTGCCTAGCTCCAGCCCTCCATTTTGGGGGAATGCTGTTATAGTTCATAATTGTGTGTCCCAAAGGACATCTTAAGAAATATTCCTGAAATGCTTTTTAAAAGAAATCGTAATATTTTCTTTGGTAAGTAGAAATGGGAGGGGGCTGGGGTTGTAGTTCAGTGGTAGAGTGCTTGCCTAGCACATGTGAGGCACATAAAGGTATAAGAAGGGGTGTTAAAACAGAGGTTCTTATAGGAGGTATACAGATGCTTAGGAGTAACTGAAACAAGGTAATTTTCATACAGATCCTGTACAGAAACAATTATTTCCCCAATAGGGCCAAAGAATTCTCTGCTTTAGAAACATCGGTTTTACCGCTTCCCAGGGAACAAAGTCCTGGAGGAGGAATAATTGCTCACCCAAGGGCAACCTTCTCAAAAGCAGCAGTAAATACTCCAGAGTAGCTGGGATCCAAGCCTCTGTCCTGAGACAGGACATCTGAGCTGAACTGGGCAGGGCTGAACAGAAGGCTTCTCTTTGTGAATGGGAGTGAAAGGCCAGAGCTCAACACCAAGTTCTATTTTTACCACATTTTAATCAGACATTTTGAAATAGACCTCACAGAACACCCAGGGTACCCTACTCATCAATCCTGCATCTGTCCCCCAGGAGAACTGAAGGGTCAGCAAGGTCACTGGGAGGTCAAGCCAAAGCCAAGACAGTTGGGATGTCCTTATTTGACATTATAAGAAGGGGTGTTAAAACAGAGGTTCTAATAGGAGTTATATAGATGCTTAGGAGTAACTGAAATAAGGTATTTTTCATATAGATAATGGAGGCCCACCTGTGATAGTGATGTCAGTCTCCTTACTATCTGTACATGTTCAAGCAATCCACTGAAGTATAACYCAGAACCTCAATCTAAAACTTCAACCTACCAACACTTTATCCTATTAAAAGGGCTGGGGCTCAGCAGTACAGTGCTCGCCTAGCATGTGCAAGGTGCTGGGTTGGATCCTCAGCATCACATAACATAAAGTTATTGTGTCCAACTACAAATAAAAAAGAATGTTTTCTTTTTAAGTGCATTTAAGTCAACTTAGGCCTCAAGAATTTCTTATAGGCAATACCAAAATTATTGACCTTTTGGGGGATCCTTATCTCCAAGAACACTCAGATTTACTGGTTTTTCTATTAAAAACCTACGATTTTGTTCTTTAGAGATAGGAATATGGTAGTTACAGATCCCAAAGTCGCTGCCTTGGAGCATCTCTTGGAGCCCAAGGTTTCCTCATTCTTCCCTGGATTTTGGGCTAAGAGACAAAAGCTAGAAAGCCAACATTTTCAAGCATTTCCTAATTTTTCATGCATCCTCCCTGAGTGCTGCGTACAGGGTGCGGTGCTCCACTAAGGCCCAGGGCTGCAGACAGGGGGCACTCTCCTTGAGCAGAAAATGCAAAGGACCTCGAGAGGCGCTCAGGGCAGGAGCGCCCTGGGCCTGTCCTGCACCAGGGCGCAGGCGTGGGGCCCTGGACCCTTCCACGCGCCCCTGCGCTGGGGTTTCTGCCCTCAGCATCGCAGCGCTCACCGAAACGAAAGTAAAACAGAGGCCGGTTCCCCGCGGCGCTGGCCGCCCGCTCCCGGGCCGCGGCTTCTCGGAYGTCGCACACACCGATGTGCGCGGGGCGGAACGTTCTCCTCGTGGCGCCTTCACTGTGCTGCAGTCTACACCGAACCACGGCAGCTCCATTCGCTGCTGTAACAAGTTGAAAAAAAACTAATTAATTCAGACTTTAGTTTTTTTTAAATTTGTTACAGCGCTGAGCAGAGCTGCCGACCCCATGCAGAACAGCACACAGACCACCAAGGGACTGCCAGGCGCGGGCGCCCCAGCACCTGCCAGGCTCCAGAACTGTCCTCTGGCAAAACGAGGAACTGCTTCTGTTTCACTTTTGTTTGGAAGGACAAAGCAGCAAAATCCAGCTGTGTCCAAAGCCCACAGTCGGCCCACCAGCCTTCCTCCAGAATGGGTAAGATACCCACAGAAAGACATCGGCAAGTGGCGTGGTCTTTAAGACAGCCATCCGCAAGGAGTCCTAAGGAGGAAAGGGAAAAAAAACTCCACGACACCAACTCTCCCCCCAAGCTCTGGCCCAGGAGCTTCAGCCATCTACAGGCTTCTCCCAGATTAAAATAATAATACTCCTTTACTTCATGAACCAGACCACAGAAAACCCAGTCCTTCAGCTAATGCCGCAGAACCAGGCTGCTTCTCCATCCACTTCCTCAAAAATCAAAGAGGAAACACAGTTTCAAAACAAAACTCTAAGCACAGCAGAAACTCAACACACAAGTTACTTTAAACATAAGGCTTCTGGAACTCTCCTTACCATGCTAACTCCACCACTCCAGGTAGAGCCAGCAGAGAACAGCCCTGGGGTCAATGCAAGTGTGGACATAGGTATTCTTAGACCTCTTAAAATTGTCTCCATGGTATAAACTGAATAGTTGTTTTCACCTTTAAAACGCATGCTCTCATCCTTTTTCCTTGAGGGAAAAGAATTGCTTGCATTAGCTCTCAGTCATTTCCTAAAGCCCAGTGAATATCCCGGGATCTCACAATGAACTGAACTTACACAGAACTGAGGTGTTCACACTCCAGCCTAACACTGTTTCCTTCTACCTCCAACTTCCACAAGCCAGCTCAAATGCAAAGAGGTTCTCAGATCCACACACTTAAAAATGCCAGAAGGCAACAGACTTGGAAGTCTTCAAGAAGCAGTAACAGTTTACAATCTATCTCAAAATACAAGCAACCTTAATTTCATAATTCTAGGCAGTATATCATTTCCTAGATTCCTCACCTAATGATATCCACAAAAATCCTGTATTAATTTAAACAATAAGATTAACTCATAAACCAAAAATCTCAGTTAAAACACTAATGCTCTTACATTTTCACAATTACAGCATTTCAAAATAATGTATTATTGATCTCCATCTACAGAGGAAAGACATATTAAATTTATTAGGCACGCTTATAGAAAAACCCTACGTGCCTTCTATATCCATGAGTAATTACACAAGGAGTTGGATGTGGCCAGTGCTCACATCAAATGAGCGACCTTCATGCAGATTTGGAACTAAGGATGGATTTACTTTTCATCTTGCATGTTGCAGTTAACTTTAAATACTAAATAATGTATTTATGCTACTTAATGAAGGGTTACGTACTCGGAGGCTGAGGAAGGTAGGCGCCAATTAATTTTGACCTCTTCTTTTCATATCCCTTTTGTGTGATGTCACCTGAAAGAGAAGGAAAAAGAACAGTTTCAATGAATACAGTTGTTCATTTGTGAAGTCTAATATTCCCACAGTTATAACTCTCATTTGCCTTACAATTCGAATTTAAAAAAGGAAACTCTGATGTCATTCACCTTGACTTCTCCCCCCTGCCCTTAAAAAAAAAAAAGTAAAACAGCTCTCCTGTTACATAAAACTCATTGGCTCAACACACACTTGCCACGGCTCCTCCTGGCTTGATTTCAGCTCCTAGAGTCCAGAATTAAATCTGCAATCTCATGCGCAACTGCCAGTGCAGAAGTTCACCCTATCTGCACAAACCCTCATGAACTCAATCAACAGTGGACAGCAATGGTCTGGGCTGGTAATAGCCAGCCAACACCATTGCTAATCATCATCTCCCTCCACTAATAAGATTTATTTCCAATCAGGCGTGTCAGTCACAAGGACTTTAACTACCACGGTATTTTTGAAAAATAAATAGTATGAAAGGAAGCTTTAGATTAAAAAAAGAACATGGGGCCTAACAAAATTCAGAATATACGAGAAAGGTGCAGATTGTTCAAATAATGCCACACGTTAAAGCTGAAGATTTGCATAAAGAAGACAGAGAGGTCAATACTGTGTTAAATTTTTCCCAGCTGATAAGCCACTGAGTATATGGAACAAAAACCATCTTCGTAAATATGTGACGCTTTTTTCTAATTATAATCCCCAGTGAACACTGAACACTGATTTTTGCCCTTCATTTTGGAATCTATTACATTTTTTCTAATATTCTGATCAAACCATTCTTTAAAGAGTAAAAATCTCAGGTTTCAATAAAAACATGGCAAATAAATAGTTACTACAATGCCATGCACAGATGTAACTTTGCTCATTCTGGCAATGTACACCAACTACGGGACATGGCCCTGTGCACCGGAGGACTAACTCATAGCTCACTGTACGTGTTCACCACATCCCCAGCAAAACACAGGGCCAGTGCTTAAACCTGAAACCACAAAGAAACGGAAATATGAGCAATATGCAATCCTTTGTTAAGCATTTACAATGTTGAATGTTATCTAGACATTATGAAGGGATTTGTTCAAAAATTAATCAAGCCAGCTGTCATGTTTGTGGTGCACTTTACACGCAGTCATTTCATCACTGAGACTGTCGTTTGGGTTTGGAAGTGCCCCATTGAATCTTTAAAAACGATGTCCCACTCTCACCATCGCCTCATATGTATTTATATGCTCTGGAATATTTCTGAGTTATGAGTAAAACAAGGGACAGGAATCAGCTGTGTTAGAGTAGTGGCGGTGGCAAGGTTTACTTTACCCTGTTTCTCTCTGCAGGTGACTACACCTGTAACACCACAGGAAGTACAGGGATTGGGCTTTAAGAAATATGACAAAAACAGTCTGTAGAAGAAATAAAGCCCCTGAAAACCACAGGTTCCATCAAGTCTCCATGGGAGTCCAGGCCCATCAATCAGAAGGACCTGGTCCATTGGTGGCCAGCCCCACCTCTGGTGCTCCAGTTCAACACACTGGAATGTAGAATGAAGGAATCTGACTTTCGGGGAATTGATTATGGCAGGTTCTGGGTGCCACCAGACTCAGCTGTGGCCCTCAACAAGAGGCTACCCACTCCTGCTCATAAGGCTGCTTTACCTTTAGATGGCAAAACAGTGCTCAGCCCCCTTGGGAAACCCTGAGAAAGCAACAGCCCTGAGCCTCTGCAGAAGCTGAACACTCACTGCCCTTCTTTCCCCTAATCACTCTCTGAAAACAGAGTCACCAGTGGTTAGTTTTCATGTTAATTGTGATGCTGGTTAATCCATTTTGTCTCCTGCCCAGGATTTAGAAACAACCAAGACCATGGGTTGATTCCTCAGGTACAGGGAACACCCATATAAAAATGAAGGACCGGAATAGGTAAGGAAACAAGGACCTGGGGCTTCATCTCCTAGCTGCTTTGAGCAATTCCACAGTCGGGTCCAAGCCCTGGTAAGTCACAGTCTCACACCACATTTTGATGTGCACCTAAGCTTCAGCTCAAATTTCATTAATTTCTCAGTTGAACATTGAAGTAGAAGGGATCCTCCTAAATTTTAGTACAGGCCAACTTCAAAGGAAACAAACTTCGAACTTGGGATTAGGTCTTACTTTGGAAAGCCCGATTACTAAGAATTTAAGCCTAAGGAAAAGTAAGCACATTTCCCCTRCAGCCCAGGACTCCCTAGGAGATGCTCAAGTGGGGCTAACCTGTATCCTCGGGTTCCCCTCCCCAGACTCAGGTAGAAATCCCAGATTGAGAAAGGGGTAAACAAAAAGATGATTGACATAAGTATTTCATGTGGTTTGATCAATACATTGTGCCCACTGAGGGATCAGCATATAGAAGATTTCTAGACATTACAGAATCCCAGGGAATCTTCCTCTCTCCACTTAGGAGCAGGTTAGGAGAGAGACTTCAGAATGACTTCCATATGCCATGCACTTTACCCAAATCAGTCTGCAAACTAAGTCACACAGGCCAAGTCCAGGTTCTGGCCTGTCCTCTTGTGCTATGGCAGCAGAGTGCAGTACCTGCAAATGGGTCGGTGTCAGCTACAAAGCCCATACTCCCTCTAGTTTGGTGCTTTACAGAAAAGCCCCTGCCCAAAATGTCCTAAATAATGTTTTATCCCTTAAAACAAATTTTGCAGGTAGGAAACAAAGGCACAGTAGTATTTCTCTCCTGCCCAGGAATGCAGATGTTAGGCAAAAAATATGTAACTCCAAAACTCTTTTCCATTAAAACCTAGAATGTTCCACTCTAGGCAAAGCCAGTATATTTGGTGCTGCTCCTGCATGCTTGCCCTGGACACCCTGCCCAGTTCTGTTGAAGGCTGGGCGTTCTATGTAGGGGAAAGAGCAGAGGAGAAAACTCATTCTTTTATTGAAAAGTGACAGACAATGGTGGAACCCTTGGATCTCCCCTGGATTCAACCCACAGTACTACCAAAAAAATAGATGAAAAAAAATAAAAAATAAAAAAATAGATGACAGGTATCTAGCCAGATGATAGTACATAACAGATGACAGATACATGGCAATAGATAACGCATAATAGGTATACATGATAAAGAATGGGTTGATAATAGATGATTGACAGATAGGAAAGACAGGATGAATAGATGACTGCCTCAAAAGCTAGCTGGTTGACTTTACATAGATATCTGCCTTTCAGACAGTTCCTTGGTTTCTGACCAGGGCTTGTGCAAGGCAACCAATGCCCTGTATACACTATGGAGACACAGTGAGCATTGCAAGCACCTGGGCTCCTCTTAATTCTCCATCAGCTCAGGCTGAACTACCAGGGCTTCTCTTTCTCTCTGCACAGCTGATCTGTACCAAGTGCAGTCTTCAGGATGAATCCACATAAACTAAAGGCACAAAAGCAACCAGAGGAGAGTTCACCTCAAGCTTTTCTGCAAGGCTTTGTTTCACATCTGTTATTCCACACAGCAAACCTTGAGGTTTAAGGGTCAATTGATGTTCTTTTCACAGTGAAGCCCAAGGAACGTCACTCAAGGATATTTTCAATGTCAATTCCAATCAATAGAAAAAGTCTTTTCAGTTCTGAAAAAATTAGCTAAATCTAAATTTGTATTTCAAGACTTTTGCTCCTTCAAAAGCAGTTGCTAATGTCAAAGACTTGAACCACAGAATCATTTGCTTGAATATTTTCCACAGCAAGTTCCAAATAGCATATTTTCCATGCTTCAATACTCAAGATACCCTTTTATTTAACTCCTTTCTCACAGTAGGAATAAGAAGGTACAACAGAAAAGTCAGTGCAGAAGTTTCAACTTCAGGGATGGAAAAATAGAAGCGATCTTATGAAGCACTTACTACTTCCCCAAACATGCTACTTATATTATTCTAAGAAGTTCCAGAAGGCCCCAAGTTCCAGCACAGACATTGAGATTTATGTTCGTAACAAAAAAGAGATTTATAGACAGGTCATAAACTGAAAATGAGTAAAGCAAAATCTTCAGGATAAGGTTGAGCCACACTTGGGAAACACATCCTCCCCCTGGTCCCCTAAAAAAGGAAGAATCCCTTTTACTTATTCCATCGTTCAGTGTCAGGAAAGTGAAGTGAAAGCTGGCCCAGCAAATGCACACGACAAGAGGCCCTCTCAGCTTCAGTTCTCCAACCCAACCTCAGGCCCGAGGTGTCAGACTTGGACTCAACTGTAATTTGTGAAAGGCCAACCAACCCATGCACGTCCAGCTCACAGTGTGGAACTCTGGAGAGCCACATGGTCCTCAAGGGAGAAGACCTGTGTGCCACACAGCTACTGCCTCGGCTGGGATTAATTCTGAGTAAACAGACCAGTCTGACTGTGATCATTTCCATTCTCGGTGTCAGGAGTTAGTTTTATTATTTAAGGCTGGAATGAATGCTTTACATAACAAAGCCGTCACTTCCATGTTTGGAATTTCATGGCTGGAAGGAACCTTCCTAATGCTGCTCTCCCCAGTCAACTGCTTTATAAGGCTTAGGGAACACCTTTGAGGTATTCTCCCACTCCTGCAGATGCAGGAGCCTGGGATTTTAGCTCTATCATAAGTTTTCTTTTCTCCAAAAATAAAGTATGGTGCCCCTGGCAGCTTTTGCATGCACCATGCACCTGCCAGGGAGAGAAGAGTGAGACAGACCTAKAGTCTCCTCTAACAGGGATCCTGGACTGGTCAAGTAACCCATCTGTCTCATATTTCCTCATTGATAAAGTACAGGTAACACCACCCATTCATCTCTTATAGTTGAAAAAAGCAAACAACAGAATGTAAAAAAATCTCAGTAAAGCACGGAATAAAAAAAAAAAAAGTTTTGAAAAACCCAAGTACTTCTCCAGTACCTGTTAAGATGTTCAAACTCATGACTTTCCCACTGGATAAGAGGTATGAAAATAGAACTGTGAGGTACAGTAGCAGGTACTTGGTGAGCATCACACCACTAGAA